AAATTTATGAATAAATTCTGCAACTAATGAGAAGGAACTAAACAAAAGAGCAAAGAAAGCTAAAGAGCACACTTGAAAACTAAAGAATCTTTAAATCAACAATTTTACTTACACATTCAAGAAAATTTGAGAAACCAATAAAAACACTTGTCAAAAGTGCAATAGAGGAAACTGTTCCTGAGATGAGAAAAGGACCTAAACCATAATTTTGTTTCTGGCTTTCTTTGGATGATTAAATTTTAGGGGCCCTCCCTCTCTACTCCCTCCTGCTTTTTCCTTCTTCCTCCCTCCTCCTTTTTCTCTTTCTTCCATCCTTTTGTTTCCCTCATGGTGTTTACATTTTAAAAATGAACATCTATTATTTTTATAATTAGAAAAAGTTACTGTAATTAAAAATACTGTTTAATGATATGCTATTATTAAATGATAAACTTTGAATAACTACAGGTGTAGAAAGATAGAATTATATATGGTTGTGATAAAGCCCTGGTCCTAGGAAATGGTATTTTAATCAAGATAACTATTGGGTGTGGACTTGAGTCCCGTACATAAAGACCAGGGATAAGAAAGGACTGGAGTTAAAAGAACAATATTAAGACCGAAAAAAGATATGAATGAAAAGCAATAGAAAACAATAGATAATACATCAATGGAATGAAGTATAGTGCTTATATGTGTATATACAAAATGTGATTCCAAAGGGGAAAATCCATAAACAGTGCTGATTCAATCTTTGAAAAGAAATTTTTAAAGTAATAGCTCTTCCTTATTCTCTAGGCCAAAATATATTCCAGATATGTTGGAATAAAGAATAAAAGTCCAAAAAATATTGAGAGGAAAATATAGATGTATATCAATGTGATTTTCCAAAGGAGAAGCCTCAGCATAAAGAAAAAGATTCATTCATTCAATGATTCTACATAAAAATTTCAAGCCCTCTTTTGGTCTGAAACACTACAAACAAAATTAAAGGGTCAAGAACAAACAGGGAAAAAATTATAATAATGTGTACAGAAAGTAAGTTAGGGTCTTTAATATAAAAAGAGTTCTCATTAATAATAACATATTGTAATATATAATATCAATTTATATATAATAAAATTTTATTTAAAATATATCAGTATATGAATGGAGTTCTTATTAATAAGAGATAAACAAGGGACATAGAATATGAACAGCAACTCAAAAGAAAGTTGTGCATATGGACAATGTTTTATCTTAATTAATAATTTTAAAATCCAAATTAAAACAAAGCATATACTATATTTGGCAGGGGGCAGGGAACTATGATGATATCTAGGCCAAAACACAGAGAACACTATTGGTTGGAATGTAAAGGTAAAAACTTTCAGGAAGGCAACTGGTAATATAGATGAAGATCTTAAATATGTCCATATTCTTAGATGCAATAATTCAACTGGTAGGAATGTATCTTAAGGAAATAATCAGAGATGTAGTAAAAAAACATAAAAAGATCTTTGCAACTTATAATTGCAAAATTTTGGAAATGACTTCAATGTACAATAATAGTTGGACTGGTTTAAAAGTAAAGACACTTATGTTTGATAGATTACTCCCCAGTCATTACTGTTTTCAAGGAATAATTTGACCATTGAAACTACTCAACATATGACGATAGGTGAAAAATATCAATATTACAGTTTTGCGATATTGTTTTATACACACAAGAATTTTAATAGTGACTATTTCTGGGAGAGATGGTCATGTGTGGTTTGTATCTTTTACACTTACCTATATTTTCCATATTTTATACAAAGAATGTGTATCACTTTTTAAATCCAGATGGATGTCATTTAAAAAGCAATGATTTTTGGTGTTGGGAGTGGGCGGGTCAGAGGGCAGGTGCCCCTGGTGGCTCCTTCACAGCGTCGCTTTCTATACAGATGCACCAGAAGAGGGCGCCTCAGCCTGTTCCCACGGGCACAATGGCTGGATCTCCTCTTCAGTCTGGGATGCTCCACAAGTCAGGATTCACTTTTTCTGTCGGTAACATTCCTTTTGTGAGTTTCTCAGAAATTTTCATAGAAGAAGAATATGTAGTTTTTAATTCCCCCCTCCCTTCCCCGTGACAGTTTCCTCTAGTCACACAATTAGCAAGCACTCTTGTTGATGATTTGTGTTTGGTCCTCCTAAGGGGTTGACTTGAAGACCAACAAACTGTACCTGAATCCTACTTTGCTTCTTAAAAAGTATGTGATATTCTTCATGGTACCAGTTAGGAGGCAGCCAGATATCCTGGCATCCTTTGTTGTCTAGAGGAAGCTTCCAATTTGGAAATCCTAAAGCTGCTACAGATTATTATTTTATTTACCATGTGACATGGGCTGGCAGTTCCATCCTGTACCAGCTGATCACTTTGGAAGCCAACCTTCTCACCTAGTAGAATTCTTGTAATTCGCTACTGAGCAAAGGTGAATCCAAGCAATAAATCATCCTGTGTAATTACTGTACTCTGCACCAGCCGAGTCAGTTTCATCATTATCTAAATATTGCAAAGCCCCAGCCTTTTCTTTTGGACTATCACTCTGTCTCTCACACACACCTAAGTAAGCTTTATTTTGACTCCTTAAAATACCCTCGGGATGGGAATGCAAGCAAGCGGATGAGTGAAGACACCAATAAAATGGCTTCTCCTACGGCCCCAAGATGCTAGTTTAAGACGATGAAGTATAGCTCAGTCTGCGGTAAAAACGTTTGTTTTTCTTGATGCATACAACATTGTGGAGTTGCTCCTTTTTCAAATACACATACACACACACACACACACACACACACACACACACACACATTCCATTGTATTATTGAGACACATCACTTAACTCTCTAATTCTAGTTTCTCTAAATATAGAGACATCATAAATCTTATCAGCTGCTTGCTTCCCAGGTTTTGGGTGTTGGAGACTAAGACCCTCCACATCCAACGACTTGTCCTATGCAGGCCTCACCAGGAAAATAGCCTAAGACAGAAAATAGCACCAGCCCTCCAGCTATAGTTCCGAGAGAATGCATCCATGACGTGCTTGCTCCAGGGC